GAAGAAAGCTGAACAAGTATGACCAACCCAGTCCAGAGGATAAAAAAAACAGCAGAAATTCAGTGTTTACTAACGTTCGGCATAATTAATAGTGTAATAGATTTGATACTCTGTCATTTATAGTCATAAGATAACATAGCTGTAGTATTATTTCGTTCCGGCCTTGGAATCCGTGCAAAAACTTTTTCATATCTATATATTTTCTGTCAATATAGTAGATATAAGTGAATCCCTCGAGCGATCCAAAGCAGAACACGAATTAATCGTTAATTTAAACTATCCACATTGGGCTTGTTTATCCAAAGTTGCATGAGATTAGTCGATGTAATAATGCCTTCTTGAAGATCAAAAAAAGGGCCTCAAACATACGATATGATTCTCCTCGAGCGCGTCCGGTTTTATCGATTTCGACGACATCCGTCATGATATCGGGAAGATAGAAGGCGCGCCATTCCATCGGGATATTCAGGCGCAGAACGATAGCGAGTTAGCTATCAATACTTTCTTGTCAGTATTTTATTACGTTATTAGTTAAAAAAAAAACCGCTTTGCGTCACCCTTCTACGTGCAGTAATTAGGGCTGAATAGCGTCTCGATGAGAATTTGGCAATTCTGCACGCGAAACCAACGGTTACTATTACGCAGTTTCATCTGCAAAGACGTAGCAAGAAAAAAAAACCTTAATCTAGTATTATGTAATTCGCTATCTAACGCTTCATTATGAGAGCGTTCATCATAGAAGTTTCTTCCATAGCAACTTCAAGTTTCTTTGTACAAAGATAACACATGTCCGTCTTGAGGCATGCTTATACCAAAGGCGCTTCGACATCGGTCATGCCTTGATCGCTTTCAGTGAAGATCATCGAACGTCATGTCATCTGGAATATTGCCATTGTTCCAACATATAGTATTACAGGTTTTTAGATTTTAGCGAAACCGGAAGTTTTTTGAAAGATATCTCATTCGCTTTTTTCATAAAGAGGAGGTAAATATCGTTGTTATTACCTACTTCGTTTGCTTTTCCAGTAAGATTCATAGAGAAACGACCGAAATGTTTTGACTGAAGATGAACAATTTAACTATAAACTAGCAGTGCAATGTGGACAACATTGCTCGCATATCATCATCGTGAGGTTTGTACTGAATAAAAAACCCTTTGGCCTTTTCGAGCCATTGCCTATATCAAGAATCAAATTGCATGTAAAATATAGGAACTTAGCCTGAGTAACTTGAGCTTAACTTAGAAATCTTTCGATGCGGTTAGCAATCTATTTTGTAATAATGTTACACAATCCGCCAGACAGGACCGAATGACACCCACAGGCTGGTGATATTTGTTATGCTAAATCTGGGTATAAAGTTAGCGTTTAGGCTACAAATTTAACTTCGCGCTTATGGGCTATTCAGCACAACGCAACTTTAATGGATTGAAAATGCCACCGGCGGAAAAATTTCCTTGTGACCATGAATATTTGGTTTCATACCTGTCACAAATACCCTCTTCATCTCATAAATACGTTGTTGTTTACCTTAGTTTTCCCACCTTACGAATAAAGCATGGGCAGATATTGTCGAATAAAAATATAATGAAAGGCGTAAGGAGTCAAGCATAATGGGCAAACTATTTTTTCGAGCTTCAATATTATTTTAGCTAGCTGTCAACAGGTTTTCGCTTAGCGCATACTTGCATTTATCGAGGTTGTAAATGTAGACGTCTAAAGGCGTTTCTTAGTCACGAGAACACGGTGTTCTTAGAAATTTAGATCTGTAGCATACATATTATATTATATATAAGTCTCTTTGCTATCGTAGTGAAAGGTGCATACCGTTTGCAGGCGTGCTTGTCTTATGACGCGTGAATTTATGTGAATATATATAAATACATATATTAAGACCGATATATATATATATATATATATATATATATATATATATATATATATATATATATATATCGGCCTTAATCAGCTTCAGGGTGCCGAGAATACCATTACCATTAAATTTTGCTCAACTTTTTCTAGCACTTCCTTCAGGCACGGACACACGCAACACAGGTATCCAGTGTTGTTTCAATAGTTTTTGTTGGGTAAAAGGCAAAATAGGACAGGTGTAAAAAAAGTCAATGTTTTTAAACCTGAAACCTTTATCTTTGAAGTCTTTGAAACCGCACAATAAAGAGGACAGAAAGCATATCCTAAACCCTTTGTTGTGTTGCAACAAAATACATTGTGTACAGCACGATGGGCTTCAATTTTACTAGGACCGCTTGCATCAGCTTTCTGGCGACCGCATCAGTGGTTAGCGGAGGTGCTGCTTGCAGAATCGGGCATGCGACACACACGTATATATATATATGTATATAGGTTTTCGTAACTAAGAAAGGTTCTTGGTAAACAGACTATAATTACTAGGGTTACTTATACAAATGATTTTAAAACATCGGTTTACAATACATTTTATTCAACATAATGAATCGATTATTGTAGGTATATTCGAAGGAGCAAGATAAGAAATTAGCTCGCCTGTAAGCTTATTAAAAAAAAGAAAAGGTTTACTACGTATAACTATTTATTCTGCTTTGGATCAATGATTGCTTCGAGTGAGATAATACATGTCTCAAATATAGAGTTACGGTTATCACACTACATCTGTGCCATATTTCGTTGCATGAAGTAGAAATCCCTAAATCTGGTATATGGGAGAGCATCTAGAAGAAATGCGGAGAAAATTCCGCCCGATCTGTCAAAACTATCCGTGTTGCACATTTTACTTGTGGACCGTAATCGACAGATATCAGCTAAGAGGACACAAGCAGCAACAATGGGAATACCAAAAATCTAGTTGTACATGCGATGTGGATAGGATAGCCAGCTAGCTGGGTTTAGGTTTGAAGCACCCTTACCTTTATTTTTCCAGAGGTCCAGGAAGTTAAATTTCGACGTCAAGAAGCTTAACTTTGTCAGTTCCTCTTGATCCTATTTTTTTGTCGTGACCGTGGACTAGTAATTTCGAATGAATACTATCGCAAGTTAACATTGAAAGCTAGGCGCTAAGGTGCTGTTACTTTTATTTTTCTCCCACCGTTGCTCTGACGATTACCTCTAATGCTGTGCGTTTTACACTGGCAGAACGAGTCACTGACTCGTCGAGGAGCCTACGGTAACGAAAATATTAGGCAAAAACGGGAAAGGCATAGCTCTATATTCAGATTCAAATGCTTCAACGCGATAATTTTCCAAAAGTAATATTATTATTCGAATTATCAGAATAGTGCCGTACGTTGCTTTAATTTTTACAGTACGAAACGTAAAACAAATCGCCAATTTCCAGCCCTCGAATCAAAGGAGCAGGCGCATAAATAAGTAAGTAAATAATAAGTACACTGTATTAAAATGCTTGCCAAACTAGCAGTAAATTACAGACACTTGTCGAAGATGTTTATAGATCGTTTCTGAAACTTTAAAAAAAGATAGTTTTTGTTATTTAACGTCGGGTAAACTCAATATTTATGTGTCGATATAATACACCTAGCCAAGCTCACGTATAGCTGCTTTTTATCATTGTTTCTAATATATATTTATATGATTAATTAAATCTTAATTTATAAATTATCTAAGTGTGATTGCTTAAGAAACGAATCATAATTATACTATTTGCTTAAACTCTGACTGTTCTAGTACTTGTTCACGCTTTGGGAGAAACATCTATCGCTTTGAAATTGAACCTGGGGTGTAAGTGTTTTAAAAGACTGAAGTCATCTTGAATTATCTTCCGAGACACTGGCACTGGCACTGGTACTGTTCGCTCTCTAAAATCAACTGAACAAGAGCCAAACAATTAAATGTATTAATTCCATTCTGGTAACAGTGCACTGTGTGAAGATGTTTTGATTTTTTTCTGGACGATTTAAAGGATGAAAACAAACAAAAACTCCAGGCATTGATGGATAAAGCTCGCACTGAGTTCTCAGAAGCGACTTGCTGTTCAGTTGAGAATAGCTCAATTAATGATTTTAATGGTTTAGACGCTGGGAAACAAATGCCTGTGATAGCGGTGCGTATTTACTATGAATGAACGAAACAGCTGCGGCTATATAAGGCGTTAACTTTATCAAGTTTGCTAAAAAAAGGTCGTTACTGGTGAGGGGCTGTGCATCATCTACTCTGATCAAATATCTAAAATATATCACCGACAAGCGGGAAAAACTCACAAATAGAATATGTTCCCGTTCATTTGGCGGAGTACTCCCTCGTGTGCTTGTCAAATGATTGTCGTACAACGATATAAATTAATAGTCAAGTTATATATTTAAGAAATACAGAGTACTCGTAGAACAGCACAAGAGTTAGAGTCGGAATTTATTTCAAATCTGTAAACAAAATATGGTGCACATTGAGAACACCCGCTCGCAGTGACGGTCAGCCTTAAAATCCACGCTTGAGTTTATAAAAAATACACTATATATTTGAGACATAATAAATGGCAGAGTGGAGTCCTCTACAATACATGCTTCTGCAAATAGGAATAGCTACATAAGTATACAGCAAATATTAGGACATCTCACTCATTAATAGCTCGCACCATAGAAAATGGCGATTTTGACTAGAAACTCTATTGTCTGTTCGATCTCATATTTAAAAAAAAAAAAAAAAAAAAAACACTTATCTGGAAATTCTGAATTCGGCATAGTTTTATAGATTTCAAAAGACAAAAACTTTATTTATACATGACAAAGAAAAACTTGGCTGATACTATTCGGAATATGTTCGATTTCAAAAAGTGTTTCAAAACTATGGAGAGGTGTATTTGAAGACAAACGAAAAAAAACTAAGCAGTAAGATCCATACGTTTTTTAACCTTTTGAAAAAAATGCTGGACTTTCAATAGCCTTCTATTTCGCGGGCCCTCTACAGGACTCATTTTTGAATATCATCATTCGTCTTTTAGGGTATCAGTGCATAAGGCTAAACATGACTCAATGAAATTGCCATTTTTTTTAGGAAATTACTTGGAGATAGCGGATTTCTGTAGCGAAAAGAAGGTGAGTCATCTGTTCGTTTCACCAGACGAGTTGTCGGACCTCGCAACGTATTTCCGCGTGACGACTCCCCTAGCCAAACATATATTTCTCAAGAGCATTAAGCGTATCACTTGTTCGGGAGACACCCTGCCGCTAAGGAGTACTTACCAGGACGTCATGTCGTCGTTTTCTGGAGTTGATACAGAGGTTCGTTTCTCAAGACTTGAATATAATAACTGCATTTTGATATTCCTACTATTTCAGTCTTCACAAACATATGCGATTTCCCGTAGTACCTCGACGCACGTAATTTTATCGTGTTTATGTGTTTGTAATGTTCCATCTGCATTGTCTCCGATCGTCCGAAATATCACAGATGTTCTATTCGTTTCGAGATTGGTAATTTTATATGTAATGTTCTTTATCTTTTGATATTTTCTCACACAAAAAAATATATCGTTAGTATCATGGACCTCGCTATATACCGAAATATCATATTATCAAGTGGTACCCAGTTTTACCTATTATATATATCATAATGTAATTTGAGTTCGAGTAAGATGTAATTGGTCTGAATTAGACATGAGATATTACAAAATACTGCTAAACAAACTTCTAGTTCCATGCCTAATTATATATAACTCGGATTTTTTTTTATAGACATCTGTCTTGGTTTCTGATTTTGCTGGCCTGGTTCTTTTACTAGAACCGAGTGCGAGATCCACACCAGCTAAATATCTATAACCGCATTGTGTTTGCTTTTCTATAGTAGTTACACGTGCAATATGATACGCCACGTTACCACGTGCGTGTTTGATTTTGTTTATTATTACGTACATGGTACGCGATTTCTTTAAATGGTGCCCTATCATGACACTCAACATTGTTTGGGTTAATCTTTTACTTCTATAAAATCTTATTGATGGCCATAAAAAGGCTGTTCCCTACATCATCGTCGATGTAAGAACGTGCGAACTACAACAGCAGCAAGAACAACTGACAACAATAAACACCGCTTTGCTCTGCCTATTTCGTAGCAGAAATAGGCATAAGATGCATGTAAGAAGGTCAGCAAATGTTTGCTTTTATCCACACCCTTATTGCTTTGTTCTGATAGTACTTTATGTGCTGCGTTTTTAGGACCAAACCTATAGATGCCATATTAATGCGAATGGCAAATAGTATTGTATAAAACGTGGAGAGATTAATCATCATGTGGCCTATATCCTACGCGTTGACGTAGGCCAATATTGCCACGCTTGTGCAAACACTCAAACGTTTATTATCCTTACTGCCGATTAATCTAACCCTCGTCTATTGCATGCCCTAAATTGTAATAGATTTTGTTATCGAGGATATTGTGTGAATCTTAGTAGGTTTGTGCATCCGCGAGAGCTATTGATACCTGTTTTCAATTTTAGCAATTATCTATATAATTATTTTCCTGTTTTGTTTAAGGTGATTTTCATGTTGACGAGTCAGGAGACGACAGAAATAGCTTGTGTCGGCTTGCCCGAATCACAGAAGTGTATTCCTATAGAAACCTGTCGGGCACAAGTAGAACATGGCGAACTTCAGCTGTTCAGCGATACGCACCAAATGCGTACCGGTCTTGGAGGAAATGGCAGTGGTGATTGCGTGTTCTATTCCGACGTCGTCGCCAACTGGATGCCGTTAAACCATATCCAAAACGTTATCTCTCAGACACTAGGTATGTCTGAAACTGATGGAAATTTTTCCATATAATTAGTCAAGTCAGAGTCCACATAAGGCCAGATTTGAATGTCGGTAAAAATCATTTAGATTTTATTGGAGTATTAGATAACTTAACGCTTTTTTTAAATGCCCTTGGCCATGTCTTTTGTGTGGACAAGGCTTCGAAGTCACCCTTTCCGTGTAATGTCAAGGACCTGCGCACTCTAGAAAAGGCCTTACCAGGGTAGACCTGGAGTTTTTCAACGAACCTACAAAATGTCATGGTACCTATACAAAGCCGTGGTAATACACTTGAAATGATGCGCCTTAGCTACGTATCCCACGTCGTTTCTGTATTTTTTTTTGTTAACCTAACGGTTAGAGTGCACTTTCAATCAAAACCTATCGATAATAGGCCACTGAATACATATTCGGTTCTCAATCAGTTTTATAAAGGATTTTAGCGCACCGTTCCTGTTGCTGAATCAATCGATTCTTTAGCGATACAAGCTTAATCAAACATTGACGGATAACCATTCCTTTTCCTTTGTTATTTCCTATGAGTGTCAAGACGTCAGAACGTGTTTCATCGTATCAAGTTGCGCTTGATACGATGAAATGTATTCTAATTAAAAACAAAGCTAAGGTCTATCATTAGCAACTACCTACCTGTAACTCAAACAATGTGTTTAAGACATATCAGGAGTCATCCTCAAAACAATCCAAGGCAAAAAGTAATTCCAGATAGGTTATTGAAGGTTTGCGTAACGGATCAACTGTTAAAAACACACGGAGGAGTGCCGATTTTCGAATCACGGTGATTTAATGAAAAAATGAAAACCATCATTTACTCAATATGACCCAGGTTAACCATTTTGGCAATGGTAACAAAATCATTTTGAATCGTTGAAAAGAGAAATACTAACTTGTGTTTATGATCTAGGGTTTCACTTTCCAGAAAGCAATTCGTGTTGACGATAAACCACATCTTATTTTACCATGACATCTTCGCACTTCGTTCTAAAACAAAGTAAAAATTGACCGCATCGAGGCGTATGGCCTTCTTTATGATTCCGTCCTACTGATTATTTCAGGCAATTCCTCTCTGCCGACTATCTATACTGACAACTGATTGCAACTATATTAAACCAATGTTCACCATGGACCCCATTTTAAACACAAAGAAGCAAGTTGTTGTTTTCACAAACATACTGAAGTCTATGTGGTGCTACTAACTCCTGACGGACCACTTTTAAACACGTTCTTTCTGTCTGAGTTTAAATACTTATTCAATGATCTAAGTGGCGCATTCATCGGCTTAATAACGTTCTAGCCTATCGTTCTGTTTTCTTTACAGGCCATAAAGAAGTGGCGATATTCCGTGATACTTTTCGTGGAGGCCTGATTTGTTTCTATCGACAGCAAGACGCATATTGGCCTGTCCTATTCAACAAACTATATCGCCTTCTTAAACCGGAGGAAAATCCTAAACTATTTCCGATTACAGGAGAAAGGCCTTGGGCTCCCCAGCAATACATCGAAGATTATCGGTAAAATTTTTAAGATATTACTTTCTATACACAGGGGCATGTAGATCAAAGCAATCAGCCACAAAAATATCCGCAGTCGACGTTAACTGTAGTGGCTTCACATTAGGACACCAGTTCTCGATATAAATTTTCTATGGTTCTCTGAAGCGGCCGGTCGTTCCATATAGATTGAATGATATGTTAACTCGATTTCGCAGCAAGCCTTACTACCTCAATTTGTGATCTTGAACTCATACTTACAGTGGTTACCAATACAAAATATAGGATAGATTACATCATACCTCAACTTAGACTTCATTACAAATAGAGCTATTTAACCACGACGCCAGCTACACTAAAAAAATATTTGCTTTCGAAGAACAATCTTTATTATTATTATTATAATAGAAACACGGATCGCAACCTAGGCATAGCTAGCTACTTTTTGAATTTTTTGGTATACTGCTCCAGTGAGGTGGCATCAAACTCATGGGTCTTGCAGATATAATGAAATGACATTGCTCCTTATCTTTATGCACCTTTTATTTGTTCCTCTTTCCCAACGAACAGAAACTTTGAAAAGCTTAAAACTAAACTAGAAAACCTTTGCTCGACAGCGTCATATGCACTCGATCTTACAAAAAAAATAACTATACTAGCTGCTTATTAGGTCGAACTTCATAATATGATGAAATAGATACAATCAGTAACGAAATTTTTTTTCGTCATTTGTTTCTTTTTTTCAAACAGTTGCTATCAGCCATCACCGCTATTTGAAAAGTACACAGCCTTTCAAATCCTTGCGGCCCGTTTTGTATCGTTTAGGCTCTTTCCTACGTGAAGATCTGACTGAACTGGTTTACACGAATTCACAAACATTGATTCCTCACTGTTCATAGTCACACAAGTTCGATGAGATCACCGAGGTAAATCGGAACAAGTGCCCATTTTTAGCGCCACTATTATAGGCAGTTCTGAAGTACCTATTCGTATCTTAGAATGACGACCACGCACAAGTAAGCCAAACTAGCATCATTCCTTTGCTGCCATCCTACGAATTTTTTTCTCACATCTAATACTCATAATAAATGCAAATAACTGGCTGGCTTAAATTACTATTATTATTATTGTTTTATGATCATTAGATTTATAAAAGCAAAATAGTAACAACCGAATCTTTTCAAATAGTGACATGTTTTTCTTTTAAAATACAAAACTAGTAGCGACACAACAGCGACGACTTTAACACGATGATACCCACTTGAAAATGCCCATCGATTCATCGGTAAGCAATGGAAATCATATATGACCGGAATTATGGTCCGGCTATATTTGCCGTCCCGCCACCCCTCTCCCCACTTGTTCTTGTCTTGGGTTGCCGGTCCTGCTACTCGTCTATCTTGAGATATCGTTTGCGGCTGCTTCCTGAGAGAGCGATTGCGACCTATGTCTCTGTTGTTGTCAAGGTCGCACTTGGGAAATCAGAAATCAAACCGTGCGTTTTCCTTATTACTGCTATATGAGTCGCCCTGTCTACACTTCCTTAGCTATCTATAGCTGGCTCCTTGTCCCGGGTACGAAACGCAGTATTTGGTTACCGCCCCAGGGACTTGACCTGAGGCAAACCAAGGAAAGGGCCGATATAACAGTAACAGGCTTTGGATGCCTGCAGGTCTTCTTTGCAGGTTTCGCTGGAATATCCGCAAAAACGTCGCTAGGTTTTTGCAGTTTGGGTTGTATTATCTGGCGAGCAGAGCAAGGCGGTATGGTATACTATTACTTTTAGTAAAGCCAGACATACGGTTTCAGATGTAATACTGTCGAAGTCCCAAGTAACTTGTAACTAACGAACTACAACTGGCACAGCTATGAATAGAACAAAATTAAATTGCCTCTGAACAATTTCTAGTCCTTTTTTCAACCTTTTATTGGCAATTTACTTAAACAGATGACATCGTCTGTCCTTCATAGGTCACTGCAAATGGTTTTTATTACTGGGCACACAGAGTTTCAGTAAAAAAAACTATTAAATCTTCTTCTTTTAAGATTTTTTTTTAACTGCTCTGTTTTATTAGTATCTGTTTTGTTACTGGCCAAATGTTATGTTTCACTGAAAATTTTTCACCATTAAAATACTATTCACAACGTTTCCTTTTTCTCTACAAAGCAGAAGCAATTATATTTTGAGGTATAGCAAATTTTGTTTCAGGTCCAGGTTCCTGCAATGGATGTTTCCAGCTGCGGAGAAGCACGGTTTTCTTACGTAGGCAACATATTTATCTAATCACTGACATTCAAAAGCTACCGAAGTAGTCTGAGATATTTGTGCCCCATACGACAGGTACCCTATGGTATGGCCGATTTCGAAAATAATTGATTACTAGTTTCGATATAAATTCGGTCTGCATATGCCTCGAGGAAGAAAGGGAGGGAGGAACGTAGGGGACAGATCTAAAAAATGGCATCTCGATTTGAGAAAACGAACCTTACCTCGATCCATCATCTTGAAAGGGTTGGGTTGGGTTAGGTTAGGTTAGGTTAGGTTAGTAGAGTCGCTCGTTAAGATGGGCCGCACCTATGCAAACACGTATCACGAAATTATAGCTGAAGTTTACATACACTTACCATACAAGGAGTAAATATCCGAAGTCGATTCAGAATCTTATAATCTCGGCTAAACGCGGATTAGAAGGTGACAAAAAAAAGTAAACCTTTCTATTAGCATCTTTATGAGCAAAGTATATATATACGAATAATGCACGATATAGCAAATTGACATTTGTCCAAAAGGGACAACCAACATCAAAAAGGAAACTTCCTTAACAGCACTAACCTGTACATCAAGACAGTAAAAGCGTCACACGTCATAACATAAGCTTTTGTGTTCCCTGCTCGAATGAATAGTTCTGACAGGGGTAAATAAAAGACTTAAGTGATGTTCTTTCCAATTCCGATTCTATAGGAAGCCGCCTTCTTTTATGCATTCATCAATAAAGTGTTGATTCATATTGACATCCAAAGCGCCTCATTGTAATTAAATAAGGTGATCTTCTAGAATGGTTTGAAAATGTCGTAGATAGTCGTACATAACAGTTGCAACTGCTCGTATGTCAGTTCCGATTGTTTCCTTCCAAATAATACATAATAAAGCCAATAGGCATACAATGCACACGCTTCGGTCGATTGAAGACCTATCGACTTAGCACAGCTTCGTTATGAGCAGATCATGCAGCCTTCATTCGCCATTTATTCAATTTTGACTCTAAGCACACGCGAAGAGTACTGTCCTTTTTCAAGCTTTGTAGTAAAATTCTCAACGTCCTTTTACAGACCACCAAATACCGTGTGTCCGGCAGTATTAATTTTTCGCTAACGGCTACATACACTGAGCGTCGCAAATGTCGTTTTTTTTCTGTGTAACGATTGTAATGACTTTTTAATTCACTTAATTATAGTTACTTGTTTTTTTTTATTATATTTGTGTCTGCAGCGAGTGTGTGACAAAGCTTTCGGAGATGCCAGTCACAGCTTGTGTCTTCGAGGGCTCGAAGATGCTATTTGCAATGGCCGATCGTCTCAGCGATGTCTCCATAGACGACTTTGAGGTTGACAAATCACTAAGCGAGTATGGGGCCACAGTTGACCAGCTGAGCCTAATTGCTGAAGACTTCGAAGAGATGGGCTTCATTAGCACATTTGTGCAAGACAGGTTAGTTAAAAAGCAAATTTAAAGGTAGAAACAACCTTTGAATTTATGTGGAAATGCAAATTAGCATCCTTGTATTTGTAAGCGATATTGTGTCACAGCTGTATCCCTTTAGGGTATCCAATTTAGGTAAGGCATAGAGTTAAGGAAGACTTAGGTAGTCGTACAAAGAAGATCACAAAGTATTCGCTTGCGTATGCATATATTTTATAGGCTATTTTCCTTAGCAGAAGCTCATGTCAAATAACACGAGTTCAGCTTCTTCAACAGCAATCGTGCATATTCCTGACTGGCAAACCGAGTTGTTAACGAAGCGATGCGATCTTACGTGGAAAGAACAGTGACAGTCATGTAATTACCAGAAAAACAAAAAGCGATCTATTCTTTAAACCATAGCAGTTGCGACTTTAAAGTTCATGAGATTTTAACGGATTATATTAAATGACGTGCCCCCTGTCCCAAAACTAACCATGTTAGCTTAATCCTAGCAGAATCTAACTCCTACTCTGCCTCTGATTTATTAATCTATTCAATTTAAAGGGACGGATTTCCCACGATAATCCTTCAAAATCCTATGATATCTTATTTAAGGAAAGTTGAGATATCACACCTTTTAGTGATAGGGCGCTAGGGGTACCTGTTAAAATACCTATACCTGTGGGCACAAACACGATTGTGAATTTTCAAGATTTAGATTGAACATTGCGTTCACCCACCTCTATGGTGTTATTAAGTATTATGCGGTCGTCTTCAGCAGTTAATAATTAAGAAACAGTGTAATAGTTACTACTTGGCATTCCACTATACTAGTTCGCGGTGTTAAATAAGACCCTTAACGAAGTAAAGAAGTCAGCGATCTGGAACTCACGAATAGTAAGATTATTCTTTTGCCATTATACA